GGTCAGAAGGTTGGGAACAGAAACACCACCTGATTGGGTTAAGGGAGACAACAGACAGTGTAAGATACGAAAATAGCAATAATTTATCATTTATCAAGGGGTTGACAAGGGTGGAAGGGGAGGCGAGGGAGGGGAAGAAGGGGAGCTGATACCAAGGGCTCAAGTAGAAAGAAGATGCTTTGAAAATGATAATGGCACTGTATGTTCAAAATGTAATTGATGTATGGATTTTATAAGAACTGTAAAAGAGCTACCAATAAAGTGAGAAAAAAATTTTAAAAAGAATTCCAGCATATGATTTTGGGGTTTTTTTGGCGGGGGGAGGTGGTTCACCTAACTGCTCTTGGTTTTTCACATACAAAGACTTTCTTTTGGGCCAAATATCTTCATCCTTGCACACTTACACTGTTCAAAATGAAGTCTTGGCATGCTACATGGAGCTTCTCCCAGAGAGCCCTAGGAGATGAAGGCTGCAGGAAGGCTCAGGTCCTCACGGAGCTGCCCCTTCGTTCACAACGAACCATCCGGCCGCGCTCGGCCTCCTTTCCCTCAGACATGAGCACCCGCTGGGAATTTGCCTCTCTACCCCAGAGACTCAGAATCCGTCCACATGGAACAAAACCACATGTACACAGCAGAGTCACCTGTGGCGCTGTGCTGGGCCAGTCCAAGCCTAAAAACAGTAACTGTAATCCAGCCAGCACATAAATGAAGGAAAAGAAGAAATGGACACAGGACATCCAACAAAGCCCTTCCTCATGAAAACACACGCAACAAGATAGGAAGAAAAGGAACATCTCTGAACATGATAAAGGCTACCTGTCCAAAGCCAAGGCCACAATACTCTCCTGGCAGAGAAACTCAAAGTACGGCCCTTGGGACCAGGCGCCCTGGTCACCGCGCTCTTCAGCGCCGTGCTCAGGCGTCGGCAGGACCGGGAGAAAGGAACATGAGGAGCACCTCCTCAGATTGCAGAGGGAGGACCACACAGGGGCCCCAAAGGCTTGGCGAAAATACTGAGAGATTCAGCTAAGAGGTCCTAGAGAAGATCCACATACAAGTGGAGGGAGGGTGGGGTGGAAAGGGGGAACCAATTACTAGGCTCTACACATAAACTCCTCCCTGGGGGACGGACAACAGAAAAATGGGTGGAGGGTGATGTCGGACAGGGCAAGATATGACAAAATAGTAATTGATAAATTATCAAGGGTTCATGAGGGAGGGGAGCAGAGATGGAGCGGGGGAAATGAGAAGCTGATGCCAGGGGCTTAACTGGAGAGCAAATGTTTTGAGAATGATGAGGGCAATAAATGTACAAATGTGCTTTACACAATGGATGTCTGTATGGACTGTGATAAGAGTTGTACAAGACCCCAATAAAATTATTATAAAAAAAAAATCTATATACAAAGTCAGTAGGCTTCTTTACACTAACAAAGAAAGCTTTGAAAAAAGGAAAACAATACTGGTTACAATTTCCACCCCAAAGATGTACTCTGGTACAAATAAGAGCTCTCGACACACGGAATCCAGGACAGATAAACTCCTCAATAATATTAATGGGAATAGCGATACTGTGAGGGTAAAGGGAATGGGGGGGGGGCAGGAGAAAGGGGGCACCGATCGCAATGATCAACGTAAAATCACGACCAGCACCCCGCCCCAGGGGGCGGACAATAGAAAAATATGGGTGACTTGTATAAAGAAAACTACAAGAAACCAAAAGTGAACCACAGAAATGAAAGAATGTATCATGCATACAGATGGAAAAAGTTAACACTGTGAAAATGTCAGTGCCCAAAGCAATCTACAGACAACACACAACCCTAAATCCGATTCCAATACCATTCTTGGAGACTGGAAAACTAGTCAAATCAACTTTGCAAGGAAAGCAAAGAGAATAAGCAATTCACTACAAAGAAGAGCAACAAGGAGAGCTCTCACTTTCTAATCTCAAATCTGCAACACAGCCACAGTACGCACAACAGCCTGGCTGTACTGCTAATCGCAAGATAAGCAGGTGAAAGCTGTTAGCGGTTGTGCAGGCAGAAAGAGGAGGTTCCTCACTCCCGTAAGAAGTGAGCCTCAGAAGCCCACAGGGGCAGTTTGTCCTAGTCAGTCTCTCAGCGTTCGGAAGGGCTCGATGGCATGAGGGTTGAGTGAGAACAATGCAGCCGAAGCAAGGACACAGATGAGAATCCATTCACTTATCGACAATTGGTGTTCGACAGAAGACAAACACATTAAATGGGAAAGAGATAGCTACCCATTTGTAGAATAATGAAACAAGGCCCATACTCACCCCTTTTAAAAATCTGGAATTATAAAACTCAATGAAAAGATAAGTTAGATGACTTCTGCCTGAAAATTAGACACTTATGTACATCCAAAATTTTCAAAGAGAAGCCACTGACTAGGAAAAAAATTCTGATAATGACTCACTGGGCAAGGGATTCATTTCTAACATGTATAGAAAACTTCGACATCTCAACAAGAAAAGGACAAATATCATCCAATTTAAAAATGGGCAGAGGGTATGAATGGACACTTCACCAACAAGAATTCAAGCAGTGGAGCTGCTGGTGGTTTTGAACTGTTGACAATGCAGGTTGCAGCCCAACTCATAACCACTATGCCACCAGGACACCTTGAGCAACAACAGCAAGAGTTAAAGAAAGATAACTAAAGTGACACTGGCATTGGCTGTTAAGTAACCACCCTGGCAGGACTGTACAATGGTGCAAGCACGGAGGAAAGCGGTAAGTGGTGGTCAGAAGGTTGGGAACAGAAACACCACCTGATCTAGCAGTTGTTCTCCTGGAACACACATCCTAGAGAAATCTGACCTGTGATGTGACTAGACATATGCTCACGCACGTTCATCACAGCACTACACTCAATAGGAAAAAAACAGAAACAACCTCATACCCACCAGTGGAACAAAGGGTATATACACTTGGTACTGACACACACGGGAGTAATCGGCGATGTCAAGAATAATAAATCTGTGAGACCCCTCATGACATGGATGAACCTCTGGGGGAGCTCACACTGAGGGAAATCAGTCAGTCAAAGAAAGAACTGTTTGAGACAATTATTAAAAAGTAAGAAAAAACTTTCATACTATAAAACATTCTTGGATGGTTAACAGGGACAGAAGGGGGGGGCGTCCACAGGCTAGAAGGGTAAACACTTAGGTGAAACACTTATAAACAGAGGGAGGTTAGGGAAAACACGATGGAGGCAGGAGAAGACACTGGGAAGTTTTGCGAGAGCTAACGGCAACATACTGTATATACAGACCCTACGATAGTGGTGATCTCCCAGTCGATACTTGGATAGACATGCGGGCTGAACAGGAGTAGAGGAGAGTGGGAGTGTACCCATGGATATGTGAAGGTTTGAGAGGATATTTATACATGGGCATTTACCTTTGCTACAATTACATCTAAGCATATGATGGCGCCTACAGAGAACGAAGTTATGCAAATGTCTTCGATCTAACCAAGCAGCACAAGAGTCGTCGTCACTGGGCACAGGAGGCTCAGGACCATAGTCTCAGAGGACAGGCAACGTCAGCTAGCACAGTTCACACAAAGACCATGTTCTACACCCTACTTTGGGGAGTAGCAACTAAGGGTCTTAGAATTCATGAGCAGGCTAAGGTGGGGTGAAATGTCATATTCCGCCGGCTCTTCTACCCAAGCCTCTTACTCCCATAAAACGACTGGGCGCAACTATGCACACGACTTGTGTGTAACACTGCATTACCGCCCCACACTGCTATAAGGATGAGCCATCTTTGAAGCAGCAGCAGAGAAAGAAACCCCCAATGACCTTGGGAGAGCACAAGACCTGTCTGAAGTGCCGGAGGTCGACAAGGCCAGACACACTCGAGACTGTGGCATGGACTCAGAGGGGCAGTATGGAGACTGTAGGGTACCTTCTCACCCGGCCCAAGATAGGAAACTGTGGGACAGAGTGGCAGGTGGGCTGGCTTCCTGAACCACAGAGGAGAAGAGCAAGGAGCCACGTGAGACTGAGAGGCTGAGGCCCAAAAAAGACTCCACTGAGAAGCTGAGAACCAGAGACCGGGCTGCTGGCTCTATCTTGTACTGTTTTCTACTCCTGACTTGTTTTCCCTGAAAAAGCCCTGTAACTGTGAGTATTGTCTGTGAGCTCTGTGTGGCCCATGAAATGAATCATCAGATCCAGCACAGATGTAGAGTGGTGGGGAGAAACGGTTGGTGTCAGAATAGTAATGAGGATGGAGTGTGGAGGCATGTTTGAGTCTGCCTCATGGCAACGGAGAAGCCAGCAGAGCGAGAGCAGGTGTGTCCCACCTCCATTGCCATTTATCGCAGGGGGACTTCTGGTCTTCCCTTATTTGGAGGAAAGAAGGATGATGAAAATAGACAACACGAGGAACAACTCGTCCAGGGAACACAAGTCATGTAAGCAGCACTTTCTACAACGCAGACACCAGAAGTCGTAGAAGGTGCCAGGCTACCACTAGCAACTGCTCTAAACAGGATCACTTTAGAAGGTGCTGGAAAGCACGGGAGAAAAATGTCTAACAACACTCACAATCATGAGACCAGTCGTGTTGGTTAAATAGAGACTGGTAGAACTCGCAAGACTATGGCCCTTTATCACCATTCAGGTCTGGACGTGAACTCACCCATACTGGAATAATCAACCATGTAAGATGGAAGGGGAAGAAGTGGCCCACGGAGTGGGACAGGAGGAGAAATGACAAGGAAGAAGAGGAGTGAGTCAAGCTACACTGAGGGGACTGAAATGAATGAGTTGAAACAAAATGTGGATACACTGTTAAAAATGTAAAACACCATCTGTTCTGTAAAACACCCAAAGCACAAAAACTTGAAAGAAAAAAAAAAAAAATCACCCAGGATCGATAAGACCCATCACGAGGTAAAATGCAGGTTCTGAGTCAAGATATCTGGGAAAGAAAGGCATATTATTCTCAGGACAGGGTCTAATCAGAATGAAGTTCTGAAGCCCTGTAATGAGAACAGGTCCTGTGCTGGTGCGGCTGAGTAGCCCCGCTTCCCTTTCTTGCCACAGGGAGGGAGCTAGTCCACCCTCCATGCTAAAGTGGGTTTCTGGTAAGGAAACAGAACAGATGTTGCACTTGCTGCTACTCACGTGGCAGAAGATCATGGCCTGGGCGATGGTGATGGCCCCGTAGAGGTTACACAAGGCTTGGAACTTCTCGTCTCTGTTGTTGCACAGGACGTAATACTGCTTGATGGTGTCCAAGGTCTCCTCCTCACGCTTCAGTTTGATGATGTTGGGGTCGGGGACCACTTTCTGGGCAAACTTCCACACGGAGTCTTCAAAGGTGGCCGAGAAAAGCAGCATCTGGCAGTTCCTGGGCAGCATCCTGCAAGGCAAGGCCCAGGTGTTGGCAAGACCCTGCGTTTGCCACTCACACACACACACACAGGAATGCTCCCCTCCCCAGGCTGGAAGGCTGCGTGGAGGGGAGGGCGCCCCACGCATCCCAGAGAGGAAGCACAAGGCATGGGGAAGGAGGAGGGGAGTGGTAGATTCCCTTTAGATCCGTCCTCTACCCGGGCTCAGGAGGATGTTCAAGCAAGCAAATCACTGGACAGAAGCAAGAGTCTGAAGTCAAGGGTGAAGGCGCCATCCTCCTTTGTCCAGCCGCTCCTACCTCTGGATGCGGATGCTCTGATCTTGGTGGCCCTGGGTGGCTATCATTACATCAGCCTCATCCAGAACGAACACCTTGATCTTCTTGGGGTCAATGAACTTGAGCTTGGCGCACCAGTCCAGCACGGTTCCAGGGGTGCCGATGACAATCTGTTCACTGATCTTTTGACCTCTTTCCACTGTGGAGACAAGATGTTTTCTGTGCTGTGTCCATCGGAAAGCCAGCTCTCCTCTTTGAGAATTTCTAAAGGTTATTTTAATAGAACAGTTTTGACTTTCACTTTAATAAAGATCAGGATATGAGTATAGTATTCAATAGACATAAAAAGGAAAACCTCAGAAGATACTGCCTAAACAGAGGGAGGTGACCTTGTCTGATTTCTTCTGGCTTCCTTATTGCTACACGACAGAGGTCAGGCATGCCTCCAACCTCCGTCTTCCTTACTGGGTTCCATGATTCACTGCAGTGGCTACAAAGAGCTTCCAGACAATACTCCCAACTAAGGGAACTGACCCATCACTTGTCTGTTAGGTGGTTGTACTGTGGTAGCTTGTGTGTCCTGTGATGCTGAAAGCTATGTTATTGCTAGTTCAAATACCAGCAGGGTCACCCAGAGTGAAAAGGTTTACTCTTAATCAAAGAGCAGCTACAGCAAATAGAAGAAATAAGGAAGTGAAAGAGCTGAACAGAAAATTTCAAAGTAATTTATCATAATGAGATGACAAAGTAAAATATTATAATGAAATGTGCACAGACCTAGGAATAAAAAATGGAGAAAGAGTATAACCCCTGCCCCCACCAAGTGGGTCAAACAACAGAAACGTGGGTGAAGGGAGATGGTGGGTGGCATAAGCTATGAAAACAGTAATAATTTGTCATTTGTCAAGGATTCACAAGGATGGGGGGGGCGGGGGGAACAGGAGCGAATACCAAGAGCTGAAGTGGAAAGAAAATGTTTTGAAAATGCTGAGAGCAACAACAAAAAAAGAAAATGATGATGGCAACGTATGCACAAATGTGCCTGACACCACTGATGGATTGTTGTAAGAGCTATAAGAGTTCCAAAAAATGATTTATATTGAAACAAATTTTAAGGAGGAAGATACTCAGCGTCTGGAAAACACTCTTAAAGGCCAGTGATCCTTGAACTAACTACAAGCTTTTCTTTCTTGGTATGTTTTAATTTGTTCTTTGTCAGTGGCTTGATGTTGTTGCTGTTTTGTTGTACAGTGTTGCTTGGTTTTGCTCTGTCTTGTTTTTGTGCATGTTGT